CTTCCCACTTTTTTTTTGTCCATCTAGCCTCTCTATGTCTAGAATTATGTGTGGATTATTTGTCCTTTCTCAGGTCTCCTTATGTACCTATGCCAGAGTTCCTCTAATGTAAACATGTAGACTGTGCATATATTCGACTGTACCAGGCAACGTCAAACTGCTTTCTCAAGTGATGAGACCAATTTGCTCTCTCATCAGCAATCGATAAGAGGACCAGTTCTGCCAGACACACTTCTTAGTATATAATACCCTTACATACTTTTTCATTTTTTGCCAGTCTTATAGGTTTATAATGGTATCTTGTTTTAATTTTCATATCGCCAGTTGCTAGTGAGATTGAACATCTCCCCACATGGGCATTGCTCAGGAGTAGTCAAGTGTAGCAGCTGAAAGCATGACCTCTGGAGCCAGGCTGCCTCAGTCTGAGTACAGGTTTTAAGATTTACTATTTGGAAGACATTGAGCAAGTTATTTCTATAAATTGGAGATAATAGTGCAAGCTTTGCAGAGTTGTCATGAAGTTAATATAAAGAGCTACAACAGAGCCTGACACAAAACGAATGTAAGTCCTAAGTTGTTGCTCTTTTTATTATTGTTATTAATTATATTTATTCTTATGTGAAACATGTTTCTCTCTTTTGCCTGCTTTTCTATTGGGTTGTTTGTCTTTCTGTAATTTAAACTGTGAGTGGTCTCTATATATTTTATTCACTAATCTTTATTATTTTCCTTTGGTTATAAATATTTTCTGTGGTTTGTCTTGTCATCTCATGTCTACTTTTTTGTTTTGACATATTAACACAAACATGTACAGTTATTAATAGACTTTAGTATTTTGTATAAATGTGAAATATGGTATATTCCTAAACTAATGGACTAACTAGCAGTTGTTTATCAGTCTCTTCTTATTATTTCTTTTCTTTTAGTTTATAAAAATGAAAGAATTTATAGTTAAGAAATACATTGTCAACAACACACACCTGAGCAGGCAGAAACAAAATTAGCTGGTAATAATCATGAGGCCTTTGAACCAACCATATATGGCCATCTGAGGTTTTTGGTTTTGACACACAATATTTGCCTGCAGTGTTTCAAAAATTTTAAATTAGTTGCCACATTATTTCAAATTGAAATCTTCAGCATTTTGATTACAACAGTAAAAACTTGGACTTCTGGCATTGCCAGCCTGTGTCCCCATGGGCTATGATGGTCTAGAACTAAGTAGCAGCTGACCTTTATGTGGAGGGTCACTCTCTGGTTTGTCAAAATCTCCAACACACCTTCTAGTCTCCCTATCCTGTCCTGAGTTGTAGTTGCCATGTATGGCTGGGTCTGAGCTCTTGTTTTCTCCCTCACATATGCGTATGTCACCTACCTGGCCCCTGTAGTCATGTGAGTTTGTCTATTGGCTAACAGAAGGCTGCCCTGTGTACTCTCAGCCAGGGGAAAAGTGCCAAGGAAGAGGTTTGTAACTGCTATTTGTCAGTGAGGGTAGCTTTCTAATTACAACTGTTTAAAACTGGTACTTTCACATTGTCATTAATGTTCTTATATGTCTCGGCATAGCTCAAAGTTGGCAGATGTGGGTAACAGATAGAAAAAGATGCTTAGCACTTTGTAGCCATGTTGAGTGGCAGGCTCCTGCCTCATAAACGTCTACAAGCCCATGTTAACCTTTATGCATGTAACAGATTTAAAAAATATATTAAAAACCCCAGTTTTCTCTTTTCTTTTTTTTTTTTTCAATATTGGGTTTGAACTTGGGGCCTCATACTCACTAAGCAAGTACTCTACCACTTGAACCACACATTCAGCCCTTTTTTGCTTTTAGTTATGTTTCAGATAGTCCCGTGCTTTTTGCCTGGGCTAGCCTTGGTCCAGGATCCTTCTACTCCTCCCACTTGGCTAGTATTTCAGGTATGTGCCACCATGCTTGGCTCGTTTTTTGAAATAGGGTCTCACTAACTTTTTGCCCAGGCTGGCCTTGAGCTGCGATCCTCTTTTCTTTTCCTCCCAAGTAGCTGGGATTATAGAAATGATCTACTGTGTCTAGCCAGAACCCTACTTTTCTAACTATCAAATCAAACAACTTTATAGGAATTGTCTTTTGCAATTCTGGGATACTCAAATTAACTAGCAGGTACACATTTTATTCTCTGTGGCTTTTCCCATGATTTTGTCCTTTTATGAAGGTCAAGTTTTGTTATTGGTGAGTCTCCCTCCATTGATAGATTTTAAATATCCCACCACACTGCAAGCCACATTCCTTTCTTAATTTTCTCACAAAGAAGTTTCACTTCTCAAACTCCCACCCATCTTCAAACTCAACAAGATTCCAATAGCTTTAATATAAATTGTGCTAATTTTTGTATTCTGAGTCTTGGTCATTCCTAGACCTGATAAGAAGACATCTCAAGGATGAATAAGTTTTCCCTTTTTTGCTTTCTCCTTCTTATCCTAAAGTATAGAAATGACTAAGAAATCAAATGGAATCCTTGAAAATTCTTTTTTTTCCATTCTTTTTCAGGTTTTCTTGATGTCTTTTTATGTACTTTTGGAATTGATCACCTAAATTGAGAAATGATTCTGTTTATAAATACTTTATGTTGTAGGCTAATTACTATATAATAGCCTGATCACTACATGTGGGTTTTTTTTCTTTCTCATTTAAGATGTGGGTAAACAAGTTTGCAAGGAGGCTCCTCTAATCAGGTATTCAGGGACCAAAATGGTCAGAAACTCTACCAACTTCAATACAGAAGTTTCCTTGAAGGTTGTTTCTACTCCAGCCAATCAGAATGGGGGAAATGCAAAGAGGCACATGCATGGGAAGTTTATCTTAAGTTAGCCCCAGAAGTGGTGTGCATCACTTCTCTCCCATTCTATTGTCCAAGACTCAACCACATTGCCAAACTTAGCTGAGGTAGACTAGGAAATGCCAAGTTGTGTGACCAGATTACAAGAAAACATTAATATTGGTGAATATTTAACATCACTCTACAACTGTTAGGTTGAGGAGAGGTTATCCTGAAGAGATCTTTGAGGAAGAGCCATGGGACTCACCCCAAGAACAAGCAGAAGGATCCTTGAAGATAAAAATTTAACATATAAACTAAATCTTCAAGACCAGTCTAACCAATCGTTATCTGGAGAATAAAAGAGTCCTTTATTCATGATTGCACCAGAGTAATAAAGTGTAAGATGACCAACTCCTTCATTAGGTAACAGAGTCACAGTGGTGATAAATAACAAGCCATCCCAAGGAAAAGGGACTCATTGCACTAGTTTAGGTTCTTAGTCTAGTGGGACTTCCCACAAAGGTATTTTCTTCTGTTTTTCCCTCAAGGAGGTTCTATGTTTTATTATTACAGATGATCACAACTAATTACAAAGAGTCCAATTCCATTCAGCAAATAGATGGAAATTCTATTATATAGTGGAAGAATACCAGTTAGCTTGGTAACTTGAAATTTCCCTTCTTTGTATAAGTAATCACTTGGGAATAAACTACATTCTCCATAGTCTCATAATTTGACAGCCCTGTGACCCTATCACTATGTTTTACTGTTGTGGCATGAGTGGGACAGTATGGCTATATACTTAGCATTGGCATGTAAGAAGTAGCCCACTCTGAGGGCTGCTGGTCAGCTTGGTCTGAAATTCCTTCCTTGCTTCCTTTCTTTTTCACTGCTTTCTCCCATGGTCTGCACTCAGCTAAGGATATTCAGAAATCTCATCCCAATTCCTAGCAACTCTCTCCTTTTTTACACTGTTGACTTACGACTTGAGAAAGCCCCCGACAGTGGGGTAGCTTCCAGACTGTGCAACTTCATTCGTCTCTTTGTCTACTCTAGGCAAGATAAGTAATCCTAGAAAATGAAGAGACTGCTTGTCTCAGCTGCTGAAGTCTTATGTTTCTTGAGGTCCTATGCTTTGCTTCAATTTTTAGCTCTTCCTTTCCCAGCTCAAGCTTCTGACTGCTTAAATGCCAGGTTCTACCTAAGTAATTGTTCACCAGGATGTTGGCATGTCTGTTAAGTTTCTAATCCCTTCTGGTAAGGCCATTTAAAAAAAATCAGATCCTTTGTGTTTCCTAAGTTCTTGATGACTTGGCCTACAATATTAGGGAGGAGGGAGGAGGAAGGGAACAGACTGCAAGAGTCTGGTGCAGTATAAATCAGGTCTCAATGAAATGTTTGGTTGTAAATGTGGAATAAGGGGCAAAATCCCACAAATTACATGAGAAAGGATAAAGGAGTAGAAGTTAATCAAAGGTAGGCAAAATGGAGCAGTCATTGACATTAGGACTTGGAAATAATTACAAGTGTTCTAAGACTGACATAGGTGAGAGGAGAAATTGAGGTGGGTGGGGGTGTGTGTGTCAGAGAGAGAGGGAGAAAAAGGGAGAGGAAGAGAGAGGGACAGACAGGGATGGAGAGGGAGAGGGAGAGAGTCTATTTCTGCTTTCAGAATTGTGAAGAGCTTGTGACCCATAGAATGGGAAAGAGTTGCTGAATTAGAGGGCCCATGTAGTCAAAACCATGATGGAGATGAGATGACTGGAGAAAGACCCTGGGTGGGTGATGCTCTGTGTGAAACTGGTGTGAAATGAGGTGTTGTCAGGGATTACTGTTCCACAGCTCTATCTGAAAGTCTGGTTGTCAAACTTTAAATGTTGCATAGGAAACTAGGCCCTATACTGTGAAGTCTGAGAGATCATTTATCTCCATGTCAATAACATGATGTGGGAAAGAGATGAAATGATAGGTCATTTCTTCAATGAAATATCTTTCAAACTAATGTTCTTCAAGAATGCAATCTTGTAAAAACATTTTGTTTTGATTTTGTGCTTCACCTTATTTTGAAAGTAACCTTTTGTTTTCCCTAGAATACTTTTAGTCATCACCCAGTAGAAGTCTAGGTTAGTGTCCAAGAGCACAATAAACAATTGCATTCCTATTTTTTATGAAGGCACTAATAACTATTTGTGTTCCTGGTAGCAAAACAGCTGAATTCTTGAGCAGACTGGACACAGGGTTGCCAAACAGAAGTGCCTGTCGAATTGTTCCTTGTGGTCCACAATCCTCAACATGGGTAAGTGGAACATCATACAAGGAGCTGTCCAGCACCTTTCAAAGAGGTGTTTAGAGATTGAAATTAAAGGGATAGAATCACAGTTATGGCTCAGAATGCTGGAACTAAAGGCAAATGGCCAGATCTGAAACTTTGACCTTAATTGTTCCCTGAGTGAGAAAATATGCTTGGATTTGCTAGCTATGTTTTGGGCTTGCTCTCACCCAGTTATCCATTCATCACTTCCTTGAATTCTTATGTCTATATAAAGTCTATTAAGTGCACATTGCTTCTATCCAGAAAGACCCTGGGAGACTGAGGGAGTAAATCAATAGTTAGAAAGCAAAGTGCTGAGTACAGAGCACCATTGGTATATCAGGAGGAAGTAGTAAATCAAACTATGTGTATGGATGCTTCCTAGGAAAGACAAAGCTTCAAAGATGAGTCAGCAAAGCGAAGAATCATTCCAGATGTTAGGATTCATTGAGGCACAGAAGCAAGAATTAAGGTATAAAGGTAAAAAGAAAAAGCATGGTTTAGGTAGCTATAGTGAAGAAAAGTGAGCTAGAAGGCTGGAGAAGTAAGCAGGAGCCATGAGGAGTTTTTCTCAATGTGCTACCACTGAGTGGGACAGGTTATTGTCCAGGTTGTCCAGGATACTGCTGGATGTTTAGCATCCCTGGCCTCTGGGCATAAAATGCTAGTTATTTCACCAAGACTTTGAGACATCTAGAAATGCACCCCTCCACACACACATAAAAAGTTAGTGGTACTCTTGGTAGACAAGCCACTGAAGATATTTCTATGCTCCACTGGGAGACCTCATTCTGTAAGGACTGAAGGTAATGAAATGTTGTGAACAAGGAAGATTGAAGGTCAGGTTTTTATTTTCACTAGATTACACTGATAACTGATGGATCTAAAGGAACAGAAAGACAAAGAGGCCTGTAAGGCTTCTGCTCCAGTCTAGGTGAGGAGTGATGCAGACTTCACCTGAGATGGCAAGTGAGAGGATGGAGGATGTAAAAGATGTAGGTCAGAAAATAGCTCAAAAGGTGAAAGTGGCAAGCCTTGGTTGTTGACTGGCTAATTAGGGACAGGAAAGTAAAAATAATTAAGGATGATTTTGGGAAAGAGTTATAGTTGAAAGAAAATTTAGGCTTAAGTTTTAAAAAGTCTTAGCTTTTCCAGAGTTTAGACAGGTAAACAATAAATTGTTAGAGAGACTTGGTCTTCATCCAAGTCTGAGCCCTTTATCATTAGGGACCTTGTTTTAAAATGTCAGAAGACATTAAGACACTTAGAAAAATGTTGTTGTCCTATTGAAACTATTCCAAGAGCTGGGGGAGGGAAGATAAAGGAGAATGACTACAATATATTATAGGAACTTTTGTAAATGTCACAGTGTACCCCCAGTACAGCAAGAATATAATAAAAAATATGAAAAAAGAAAAAGGTCATTACACTCCTACCAACAATACTGTCACAGAGTCTAACCTTCTCACTGTGTGCCCTACAAGTCATATCAACTGAAATTCATCATCTCTCTTCCCTCATTGTGGGGTTCTGGTAGAAGAAATGAACGCTGTAGGTAGTAGAGTTAAATCATGTGAGGATGACAATCTGTCCAAGATCCTTGTGACTAGGGGGAGTGGAGACAGGAGTTAGATAGCTCATCAACTGGGTTTTTGCCTGCCAGGATGTCTTCCTTTCTATTTGAGGGCTTCTGAAACTATGATTTGAAACACCTGGCAGAACTGCGTGTGCTTGCTCTATTGATTTTTGGCTCATTTTCAATTTAGCAAGATCATCCTGAATTTGAATATTTTTGTTCAATCCTTTAGCAATGTCTCTAAGAGCTGCATACTCTGTGGACTGATTAGTGCAGTTGTCATGTGATTCTCAGAGGTATCAATAGAAAATATGGACCACAACTGGCCCCAGAATGGTTCCTTGCTCTCATTTTGACACCAAGCTATTAATAAGTTGTTGCTGTTCAATATATTTAACTGAATTTTTGCCCTTATTATACTCTTCTCATTCTATCTAATCCATATGCATAGAAATCTTCTGAGATGCTTTTTTGGAACCGTTTCTAATGCTTTAGGAAAAGTCAGATATGTATATTGTACTTCTGTGAAGACATTTCCTCTCTGTTCAGAGAAGGTATATGCTGTTTTGCCTCGGTAATGGCTACTGTATAGAATGTAAAAAATGTGTGACTCCCATCTCTGGGATATGAGGATTTAAGTTGTTGTTTTTCTTTTTTTTTTTAATTTTAATTATACTACATAAAGCAACTTTCCTAAGAAAAATTTTATTCTGATACACTTAGAGATTAATAAATACTATATAATTATGTCAAAAAAAGACTAAAGGAAAATTCCTTTAGATTTTTTCAGACAAAAGGTATTACAGAAGTCAGTTACACGTGGATTAATGTAGTTCTTTCTGCTAAGTAAGTGTGTTAGCAGGGGCAGAAGTCCTCCCTGCCTCTGCAATTAGCACTGGGTATTTCCAGTTGCATCCTAAGTGGTTTTCAGTTCCTGGTTTGCTTCCCTCTCTTCTTCTGCAAAGAGCAATGATTTTTAAAAATCACATCCTGTTTTTCTTCTGATCCAATCATTTAGTAGCTTAAGTGCAATTCCTTTCTGTTCTGTGACACTCTGCCTGCTTGCCTGCCTCCCTCACTTTCTCTCCCGTCCTCTGTGAAATCCCAGATTCTCTCTCTTTTCTTTTTGGCTGTACTGAGGTTTGAACTCAGTGCTTGAGCTTGCTAGGCAAGCACTCAACTACTTGAGCCACACCTCTGGCCCTTTTTACTTTTTTAATTAATTAATTATTTATTTTTCTTTTATTATTCATATGTGCATACAAGGCTTGGGTCATTTCTCTTCCCTGCCCCCACCCCCTCCATTACCACCCACTCCGCCCCCTCCCTCTACCCCCCACCCCCTCAATACCCAGCAGAAACTATTTTGCCCTTATTTCTAATTTTGTTGTAGAGAGAGTATAAGCAATAATAGGAAGGAACAAGGGTTTTTGCTAGTTGAGATAAGGAGAGCTATACAGGGAGTTGACTCATATTGATTTCCTGTGTGTGTGTGTTACCTTCTAGGTTAATTCTTTTTGATCTCACCTTTTCTCTAGTTCCTGGTCCCCTTTTCCTATTGGCCTCAGTTGCTTTTAAGGTATCTGCTTTAGTTTCTCTGCGTTGAGGGCAACAAATGCTAGCTAATTTTTTAGGTGTCTTACCTATCCTCACCCCTCCCTTGTGTGCTCTCGCTTTTATCATGTGCTCAAAGTCCAGTCCCATTGTTGTGTTTGCCCTTGATCTAATGTCCACATATGAGGGAGAACATACGATTTTTGGTCTTTTGGGCCAGGCTAACCTCACTCAGAATGATGTTCTCCAATTCCATCCATTTACCAGCGAATGATAACATTTTGTTTTTCTTCATGGCTGCATAAAATTCCATTGTGTATAGATACCACATTTTCTTAATCCATTCGTCAGTGGTGGGGCATCTTGGCTGTCTCCATAACTTGGCTATTGTGAATAGTGCTGCAATAAACATGGGAGTGCAGGTGCCTCTGGAGTAACCTGTATCACAGTCTTTTGGGTATATCCCCAAGAGTGGTATTGTTGGATCAAATGGTAGATCCATGTCTAGCTTTTTAAGTAGCCTCCAAATTTTTTTCCAGAGTGGTTGTACAAGTTTACATTCCCACCAGCAGTGTAAGAGGGTTCCTTTTTCCCCACATCCTCGCCAACACCTGTTGTTGGTGGTATTGCTAATGTTGGCTATTCTAACAGGGCTGAGGTGGAATCTTAGCGTGGTTTAATTTGCATTTCCTTTATTGCTAGGGATGGTGAGCATTTTTTCCTGTGTGTTTTGGCCATTTGAATTTCTTCTTTTGAGAAAGTTCTGTTTAGTTCACTTGCCCATTTCTTTATTGGTTCATTAGTTTTGGGAGAATTTAGTTTTTTAAGTTCCCTATATATTCTGGTTATCAGTCCTTTGTCTGATGTATAGTGGCAAATATTTTCTCCCATTCTGTGGGTGTTCTCTTCAGTTTAGAGACCATTTCTTTTGATGAACAGAAGCTTTTTAGTTTATGAGGTCCCATTTATCTATGCTATCTCTTAGTTGCTGTGCTGCTGGGGTTTCGTTGAGAAAGTTCTTACCTATACCTACTAACTCCAGAGTATTTCCTACTCTTTCCTGTATCAACTTTAGAGTTTGGGTCTGATATTAAGATCCTTGATCCATTTTGAGTTAATCTTGGTATAGGGTGATATACATGGATCTAGTTTCAGTTTTTTGCAGACTGCTAACCAGTTTTCCCAGCAGTTTTTGTTGAAGAGGCTGCTATTTCTCCATGTATATTTTTAGCTCCTTTGTCAAAGACAAGTTGGTTATAGTTGTGTGGCTTCATATCTGGGTCCTCTATTCTGTTCCACTGGTCTTCATGTCTGTTTTTGTGCCAGTACCATGCTGTTTTTATTGTTATTGCTTTGTAATATAGTTTGAAGTCAGGTATTGTGATACCTCCTGCATTGTTCTTTTGACTGAGTATTGCCTTGGCTATTCGTGGCCTCTTGTGTTTCCATATAAATTTAACAGTAGATTTTTCAATCTCTTTAATGAATGTCATTGGAATTTTGATGGGAATTGCATTAAACATGTAGATTACTTTTGGGAGTATCGACATTTTTACTATGTTGATTCTACCAATCCATGAGCATGGGAGATCTCTCCACTTTCTATAGTCTTCCTCAATCTCTTTCTTCAGAAGTTTATAGTTTTCCTTGTAGAGGTCTTTCACATCTTTTGTTAGGTTTACACCTAGGTATTTGATTTTTTTTTGAGGCTATTGTAAATGGAATTGTTTTCATACATTCTTTTTCCATTTGCTCATTGTTAGTGTATAGAAATGCTAATGATTTTTCTATGTTGATTTTATATCCTGCTACTTTGCTATAGCTATTGATGATGTCTAGAAGCTTCTGAGTAGAGTTTTTTGGGTCTTTAAGGTATAGGATCATGTCGTCTGCAAATAGGGATATTTTGACAGTTTCTTTACCTATTTGTATTCCTTTTATTCCTTCTTCTTGCCTAATTGCTCTGGCTA